ACCTGGCCAAGTCACATTGCATTTTCTTAGCCAAGCTCTGCTGTACATGGGCCCAATTTCCTTATGGTCTTAGCCCAGGAGCCTTGTTCATTCTTGATGTTTGTAGCATCAATCAGACATGGGGTGCTTGGTGAGACCTCATTTGATTCAACTTCACTACATAAGTTACTGGTTTAGGTTTAAAACCAAGTCCTGCCAAAGCTGCAGTGTCTTGTAACATGAAAATCACTTCTGTGTTATCATTGGGATTACTTGAGCTCTTGATAAAGGGCCTAGCACTTAGAAATATTAAATGGTACTTCTATGATTTTATTCAAACTCTTCTGACAGTACCAACAGATTGTTCCCACAGCACCTGAGATGAGTGTTTCTCAGCATGTTTGGCAAATGAGAAATAGACTGTTTGCTCAGGCCTTTGAAAGCATAAAAACGATGGAGAAATGACTGAAGCTGATCAGCTGAGAACTGAAGGAAGTTGTGCTGTAGGGAGTTGGGATAGAGAATGTGAGTCCCTAATGGAGTGGGGTGGGGATGGGTGTGACACTTGGCAGTAGTGTTTATCAGTTGGTACTTTTGTTTTTTCCTTTGGTCTTTTTGAAACATAGTACAGGCTGGCCTTGAGTTCATTTTAGCCCAGGCTGGCCTCAAACTCAGGGCAATCCTCTTGTCTCCGCCTCCCAACTGCTGGGATTACAAGTGTGTACCACCACACCTGGCTTGCTTAATGCATTTTTCTTTTTTTTCTTTTCTCCCTCCCCTCTTTTTTGTGTGTTTTTTTAAAGATGGTCTTGCTATGCATTTTGGGCTCACCTTGAGCTCACTTTGTAGCCCTAACTGATCTTTAACTCTGATTCTCCTGCCTCAGCCTCTTGAGTGAGGGATTATAGGTGTGAGCCACCATGCCTGGCTCCCCTTTCCTTTTAAGACAGGCTCTTAATGTTAGTTTAGGCTGACCTGAAACTCAACATAGTTCTCCCGTTTTAGCTTCCCAAGTGCTAGGATTACAGATGTGCTCTATTGTGCTAGGCTACTGAAAGTGTAAGTTTATTTAGTCTTTTTGAAAGATCTCAGTATGCAGTTTAGGCTGGCTTTCAACTCACTTTGTAGCCCAAGCTGGCCTTGAATTTAGCAGTACTCGTGCTTTGGCCTCCCAAGTGCTAGGATTACAGAGATATGCCATCCATTGTGCTTGACTTGAATGTGTAATTTTAAGCCTGACAATTTTAATTAATTTATTTATTTGGTATTGGGAATTGAACTCTGGACCTTGGGCTTGCTAGGCAAGCACTTGTGCCGAGTTATATCCCTAGTCCCATGACATTTTCTTTTTTAAATAGGTGCTTGCTATGTAGTTCTGGCTAGGCTTGAATTTACTTGTAACCTAGGCTGGCTTTGAACTCACAGTAATCCTCCTGCCTCAGTCTCCCAAGTGCTGGGATTATAGTTATGTGCTACTACACCTGGTTTAGGATTTGGGTCCTGATTCTAAATTTGTTCATAATTTAAACTGATTAAAGGGGTTGGGGATGTTACAGTGGCACACCTGGCAAGTATAAGGTTGTGAATTAGATTCCTGGTCCAAAAAAATTGATTAGAAATTTAATTTGGTTTTGAAGATTTGAAATAAGAGCCTACAAATATAGTGGTTATACATTTTATAATTTAAAATTCTTGTGCCTTTGTAATTTTCACTCTGCATTGCTCTACACTCTTTGTCTTTTTAAAAATGTGTTACTATTATTTCGTGACATGAGAATTGAACCTAGGGCCTTCATATTTAGCTTCCATCTCCAACTCTTTTTTTAAAAAAAAATTCTGACAGGGTCTCCCTAAATATCCCAGGCTGGGCTCGAACTTGTAATCCTCTTGCCTCAGACTCCTGGAGAACTGGAATGACAAGTGCGCATCATCATGTCTGGCTATAACAAATCTACAGTTCTTTTGTCATGTAAGGTAACAATCATCTCTAGGTTTGGGTATCACGCAGTGTACACCCTTGAGAAGGTACTATTCTGCCTACTTTTCTGGGCTCTGGCCACTGAAGATTACTACCTTTCTCATGCAGAAAATGCATTTGCACCGTCTCAGCATTACCCAAAATATCAAAATGTAAAGCCTCATCTCAGTCCTTGCTCTGCACAGGTCAGTAGGATAGGCTCAGGATATTTGTATTTAACATTCCCTTAAAAGGGGGAGGGCAGAATGGAAGGAAAAAGATTATTGGTCTGAGCTTATATAAAAATCCTGCTAGGGGGCTGGGGACGTAGTTCAGTGTTTAAGCACTTGCATAGCATCCCCAGCACTGAAGAAAAAACTCAGGTCCACAAACACATGAGGCCTCAAAGCCTGAGGGTGTCTAGCTTCAAACATCCTATCAGTTTTCCTATTGTTTTTCCTGAAGGGCAGGGCACATTTACATGTGAGTTGTATATTTTTCTCCCATTGTGCCCTGTCTCTGTCACTGTATTGGCAGTGTTTTTTCTGGGGTAAAAATCTTAAACTTGTGGGGCTTGCTCAGCTCTGCTCTGAACTCCTCTTAGATAGGAGGTCTTATCTCAACCCTTGCTTTCTGTTGACATAGTTGTGTGCAAATGAGAATACCTAGTCTCTTGTAAGGACATTTATTTAGCAAAGCAGTGGGGTTTGAATCCAGGACTCTGCATATGAGGTAGACATTCCACCATAGGGCTACATTTCCAGTTCATCAAAAATCTGACTTTTTAGTCCTAAAGTCTATAGAAAACAGCCCAGTGTCACTCTGCTATTCACCCGGAACACATGATAAGGAATCCCTTAGTTTAGCATCTTTGTAATAGTGCTAGGCTGAGAATTTCCCAAACCAAATCCTTGCTTTTTTTTTTTTTTTTTGCTTATCACTTCTTCCCTCAATTTGTCTCTTCAGTGTTGCATTTTTCTTCTTTTCGTGTGTGTGTGTGTGTGTGTGTGTGTGTGTGTGTGTGTGTTTTGTACCAGCGATCAAACTCATGAACGCACTTGCCAGGCAGGTGCTTACACCACTGAGCTATAACTTTGGCCCTCATTTTGTAATTTCTATAGGAATGGAAAAGTTCGGAATGCTGGTTCAGCTAAATAATTCAAATTCATTCAAGTTTTGTTTTCCATGTAACTGCAGGACACAATTGAGCCAAGTTCTTACACTATATAAATATCCTTTGCCCTTCATTTTCCAAAAACAGTCCTTAATTCTGAATCCAACCAGCATCATTTTTTTTTTTTGTAATTCTGAGGATTGAACCCAGGATCTGTCACACACACACACACACACACACACACTACATCGTTACCCCTGAGCCACAAACCCCCCCCCCCCTTTCCCCGGGTCATGATTCTTTTGTCTTATTGCTGGGTGACTGATTTAAATGTGTTATGTTGCTACCCACTTGGACCACCAGTGGTACATGCATGGCTCTTTTTTTTTTTTTTCAATTTTTTAAAAATTTTATTTAAGGAGAAAAGAAAAAAGCAGGGAAAGGGTACAAGTTATACAGATTTACAGAAAATGAACAGTAGGAAATCACTAGTTAATGGATTACATATTGTCATCTTAGAAATAATTGTTCAAGTCACAAAATTAAAGCTTGTAAAGTGGACATTCCAACAATGATACTGCAAACAGTTCTGTTCATTGATCCAATAAAACACTGTGATATCATTTTCTATCTTATACACTTAAATATACATGCAGTTATATAGTTTGGAGCACTTTCTTTTCCTCTCTTTTGTACCATGACTTACACATTTTGGGTTTCATTGCTCCCACGGTTCTTATTACTTTTTTGGAAGAGAGTAAAACCAAATGTGACATAACAGAACAGAATCGGTCAAGTCAAAAGGGTGGACATAATAGATAATGTAAAAACATAACATGCATGACTCTTATTGGGCAGCATGGGATAGTCCCATCAAGTAGTTTAAGCTGCCTGATGGGGCAAGCATGTATGTACCATTGTGGTTCAAGTAGGTGGGAGCAGGTTAAACCTGGGTCTCACTAAATTGTGCTAGCTGGCATCAAAAGTCCAAATATTCCTGCCTCAGCCTCTCTAGTAACTCTGGTTACAGGTATGTGCTACCATACCTGGTACCAGAAGCTCTTGTTTTTGTTTTTTGGAGATCAGGTCATGATTGTAGTTCCGACTGCCCTTGAACTCATAGCACTCCTGCCTCAGCCTCCAAACTGCTGGGATCACAGTCATCTGGCACTAGACCTGGCCATTACTTTAAATGGTACTAAAAGTTTAATTGAAAAGGCTAGCTGGGTGTGGTGGCACACATCTGTAATCTCAACATGCAGGAGGCTGAGGCAGGCAATTAATACGAGTTTGAGACCAGCCTGGACTACATACCAAGTCCCTGTTTCAAAACAAAAAACACAATATAATGAGAGCTCTGAAAGTTAAATTTGTAAATGAATCTCATCCACAGTCAGTAGGACTGCTGCTGGAATCTATTTTACAGAGGCTGTCCATATTCCACTATTTTCTTAATCACTCATCTGACTCTCACCCTTGGCCCCCCTCTCGAATTCTTGTGATTAATTATATTGGCACCAATGGATAATTGGAATTGGCTTCCCATCCCTGGATCCTTAATTACACCTACATGACCCTCTTTTTGATGTGACACATTCACAGTTCAGGGGCTCAGAACATGGCTACCTTTGTTGTCTGTTTTCTTATCACCTTGCTTTCCAGTTGTCTGATTAATAAAGAGCAGTATCTAAGGCCCTTGAATGGTAAAGGAGTGCTTTTGACTTCTGAGTCAGATGAAACCTGAAAGGATGTTTTCTAATACTGTTTTTTTTCCACCCAAGTTAATGTACATTATTAAACACTACTTATAAGGTATGGACTGATAAAATACATGAAAATTTCACCTGTATTGACAGTTGGTGTGAAAGAATGTGGGTTCAGTGTTGTTCCAAATCAGGATTCTCATATTGCTCTTCCTAGTTTTTATAATGTTATAGGTTAAAGCATCTCTATAGGTGAGTATTTACAACTATAATGAATTAGTGATTGGATTTAATAACATCATAGACATATATTGATTAGGTTTTCAAAAGTTCATAGATCAAGTCTAGGGATGTAATCCTAGCTACTCAGGAGGATGATACAGGATTCCAAGATCAAGACCAGGGCTGCGGATTTAGTTCAGTAGTGTCTGCCTGGCAAGGGCAAGGTCATGAGTTTCGATCCCCAGTACCAAAAACAAAACAAAAACATACCAAGTGGTTCAGTGACTAAGTGCTTCTAGGTTCAATCCCCAGTACTGAAAAAAAAAGAACCCACAGACCTAAGTGGTTGAACTAAGTTAGGAATCCAAGCTGGTAGGCATCACCCAGGTAGATCAGTGACCTGAGGAGATGAGTTCTGTGGGTGAAATTGCTGCTGCAGGCAGAAGCTCGATGTAGGTGAACAGAGAAGGGAAGACCATTTAACAGACTGCAGCAAAGGGAATGGTATTAGCATGGTCTTTCAAATACCAGACCTGACTTCTAGTTTTAGCACTAAATGCAATTCATTGGTTTGTCTAACTGAAGACTGGTGAGCTAACAGTCTCATTCATCAACCTATAATGATGTAACCACATCATTTCTGAAAGTGGCTGATGTCCAATGTGACATCTTAAACATCTAACAGGGAGAGTTTTGTCAAGCATTGTAGTCCCAAGGTTCCTTTTGACTAGGTCAGCTTCAGGTCTTCTTGAAGGTTCCTCAGGTCTTCCATCACTCTACCTAGAGAAATGGGGTAATCAGCTCCTGTCTTCCTGGTCCTTGTCACAGTGTCTTCTGGTTCCAGCCATGTCCTCCATCACAGAACTTCTGAGAAGTTACACAGCACTAACCATACTTCTTGCCCAAGGAAGTGGGTGTTTCATCTCTGGACTTTAAACCCTTTTATTTGTTACTATTTTTGTGGTACTGGGGATTGAACCCAATGCCTTTACACTGAGCTGTATCCTCAGCCCTTAAAAAAAATATTTTTTTAAAAATTTGAGACAGGGTCTCATTAAGTTGCCCCAGTGGGGCTCGAATTTGATCCTTCTGGCTCAAGCTCTTTGGTTACTGGATTACGGAGGTGCATCATCATACTAGAATATTAAAATCCTTTACAGAAGGTGGCCTCAAGCACTATTCAGCTCTCCAAGGCCACGAGGTTACAGAAGAGGTCAGAAGTAGCAGTGACCCTAAGGAAATGGTAGGGACCAGTAGAGTGGTGGAACTGGATCGGCTGGAGATCTGGAGACAGACGCGCCCGCGGGAGCCGCAGCACCCTCTGTGGGAGCTCGGCTTCACTCGGCAATTGTTGGAGCCACCGTTCTCCGTTTACGCAGGAGGGGTACGATCCGGTTCAGGGTCTCCGGCGGCTGTGAAGACTCAGCTCGTTCAGAAAAGTGAAGACGGGTAATTTCCAAAAGAAGACAGCCGCTTCCACAGAACAGCCCTGAAAGGGGCTGGAGAGATTAGAAGAAAAGCAACCAGAACCCCACAGAGCCTTCCCCGCAATAGAACGCCGCGTTGCACACTTCTGCAGTGCCAACGATTAACGTGACCAACTCCAGACCCCGTAAGCGAGAGCGATTTCCCCAAAATTCCCTCGTCCCCCTCAATAACGTGCGACGATGGGTGGGACGGACGCGTGCGAAATATGCTCAGGGAAGGATAGCCAATTGCTTCCCCTCCCTGTTCCTCCACTTCCAGTTCCTCCATTCACTTCCTGTCCGTCACTTCCGCTCCTTAGTGTTCATCATCACTTCCGGTCCCTTTCACTGACTCTTCCGACAAAGCGTCAGTGTCCGGCTACAATTGGAATCTTCGGTTCTCGCGAGTGTCGTCGTGGTCCGAGACTGAGAAGCAGCCGGGACTGGGGCTGTGCGGACGCCGGGCAGCGCCCACACCGGCATCATGGTAGGTGGGTACTGGATGATGCTGGGTGCTAGGGGGTGAATGAGGATGGGCTGTGGGCTCTGGGACGCTCGGGGCTGTCATAGATCCAGGCTTCACCTGGGGCTCCTCTTCCCCTCGTTGGCTGGCAAACGGGAAAAAGCGCAACCGCGGGCCTCGGACCGCTTTTGAGTTTGAATTCTGGGAAGCTCTTTAGTTACCCACAGGGAAACTGAGGGACGGAGCGCGAGGACCCGCTCCCAGTCACAGTGCAACACGGTGGCTCGTCGTCGGGAACCAGTCAGATACAGGATGTGAACTGAGTGTGTGATCTTGGCTTGCGTGGCTTGATTGCCTCTTCATCCGACCACGATGTGTAAATAGGAGGAACTTGCAGTGAACTTGGGTATTGTGCATCTTGCCTAATGAGGTCCCCGTTAAAAGCCCAAGGACAGGAACTCGCAAAGTTTGGAGAGGCCTCTAAGGTCATCAGTTCTGGAGTCCTTCATAGTCTTTTCCACAACAGTAATCCCGTTTGGTATTCACCTGTGTGCATATACAAGCTATAGTGATGGAACATGCACAGGCATATACATGACCATATAAGCATTAGTAATGTACACAGGTGGAATAATCGTGTTTGTGTGTTTGTTTGCTTATTGGTAGTGTTGAGGATTGAACCCAGGGTCTCATGCAGCTAGACAAACACTACCACTGAGATACACCTCCAGCGCACCAATACATATTTCTATTAACATAAAAAGATATATAATAAACAATTATATATTACAGGCCAATTACAGGCCAGGGATTTAGCCCAGTGGCATAAGTGCCTGCCTGACAAGCTCGAGGTTCCAAATTCAATCCCTGGTACCAAAATAAATAAGTAAATAAATAAACAATCACAAGAGATTGCATAGCAGGCTAAAGAAGATGTATTGGAAGTGTCTTGCTTGTGACTGTATCCTTAAAAGAGCTTTTCACTGAACAGTAAATGTAAAAAAAAAAAAAAAAAGTTTCTTAATCATGAATATTTTTCTTTCTCTTCCAGGCTCGAAATGCAGAGAAGGCCATGTAAGTATCATTGCATTTTGGCTGAATGTTTTTTGTAACTTAACCACTATAAGAGTCTGTGGTCTTTTTGGTATAGGAGCTGTTTGAGAAGCTATTTCTTTCTCTGTTTTTGTAAACTAGCACCCTCATGTCTATTTTACTCCATTAGGGTTTTCTGACAGCTTGCAGAGCTTATACTGGATGAACTTTTGTTCACCTGTGAATAGTGTGGGAACAATAGCTAGGGCATTCCATGAAGCTAATCTTCTAGTGTGTTACTCATCACAGAGGACTGATGAATTGAATTTTGCAAAGTCCTTACATGCAGTATAATGAACTAGATTCTCAGGTGTTCAAGAACACAAATGGCTGGATGAGAGAGGATAAGGAAGGAATGGGTTAGTGAGATCCTGTTCCCTTCCACCTCCCCATATTACAGTGGAATAGGAATGTAGCTCAGTGTGAAAGGCCTGGATTCAGCCCCCAGTATCACAAAAGGAAGAGGAGGGAGAGGCAGAAGAAGAGAAATTTTGATGGCATGGTAGTGCCTGCCTGCAATTCCAGCTACTTGGGAGGCTGAAGCAGGATGAGTTCAAGGCCAGATTGGGCAATACAGACTCTATGTCCAAAAAAAAGGACTGGAAGTAACTCAGTTATAAGGCACTTGACTAGCATGCATAAGGCATTGTGCTCAATCCTGTTGCAGTCAGAGGTTGCAAGGAGAACAATTACATAGAGGGCACAGCATTTCTAGTATTATTTTATGATGGTCACTCAGAGTTAAATATAAGAAAGTACAGGAGTTAAATACAAGAAAGTACAGGAAATCTGTCCACAACACTAAAGACCTAAAAAATCCAGCCAAGGACCTGAATCCCACAGTAATATCCTGCATGGGTCCACGTGAAGACCTAGAGCCCATGACAGTGCCTCCCATGAGTCCAACTGGAGGTCTAGAGCCCATGATAATGACTCATTTAAGTGTGTTTTATGGATCTGTGCTGGGAAGGCCCAAAGATCAGTGGTGAAAACTAGAAAGGCTATGCCAGTTGAAGGATGTGCCAGTAAGTTGAGGGTTCTGCAGTGGAGCTAAGAACCAGGGGTCCTCTGAAAAATACCACAGCCATCCTCCGAGACAGTGAGGTCCCGAGCTCCTCTGATAGGAGAACAGTTGAGTATGTCTTAAGAAGCCAATGTGACAAGCTTCTGGAGCTTAAACAGCACACATCTTGCCTTCTGGAGCCAGGAAATGATGCTCAATGTAAGGACCAGAACTCCCCTAAAGTGAACCACAGACATTCTCAGCAACAGCATCCCGAGCTCCTCTGATTATAATGGCTGAATTCATGTTGAGGAAGCTAGCCATGATAAGCTCCTCCAAGGGAACCAATGGCTCCAAACAGCAGCAATGCCACACTCTTCCTCCACATCTTTTATGCTGGCAGCTTTCTTCAGGTGGGCCATTACACTCAGCAACATGCTGATTTAGTTCAGCTAGTGTTAAGTTGACCATCAATTTTTTTTTTTTGTCTTAATTTTTTTATCGGTACCGGGGATCGAACTCATGACCACACACTTGCAAGATAGGTGCTTATGCTGCTGAGCTAAATCTCCAGCCCAACCACCAATTTTTAATCTACAACAGTTCCCCAGTACCACTCAAGCCAACCCACAAAGGGCTTTGTAGGCCCTGTTCCCTGAGACATGGAAACCCTAAGGCACTCTGTGGTTTTAGTTTCTTGATTGCTGTTCTTCTGAGTGACGTTATAGTAGCTCTGCCCCTTCCGGAAACTTGTGTGATTAGAAGCCTGATCAGCTCTAATGGTATCTTCTGTGTCCCTGGCAGGACAGCATTGGCGAGGTTTCGCCAAGCTCAGCTGGAAGAAGGAAAAGTGAAGGTGAGTGTAAATCTTCCTGATAGGCTGTGAAGTGTCCAGAACAAGTGCATCACAACTCCTTCCTTGACAGACTTGGAGCCCTGCAACTGCCTGTTTGTCCTTGTTCACATCCAAGTTGAGTTTCCAGTGTTCCTGTGGGTAGCTGAGGCAGTGGACTCACCTGGCTGCTTATTTTTCCATAAAATGATAACTGACTCCCTTGAACATGTCAGCTCTGTCTAATATGGAATAATAGGAAGTGGAACATGGGGGTAGCTGTGCCTTAATGCGAGTGTAGAGTCTTAACTCAAGGGGACCGAGCCAAATTAGGACTTCTAGATATTAGGCTCTGATTATTAATATTATATTTTAATGTTGTACACATGCACACATCTATATTTATGTATGTATATTTGGCCTACATACTGACATCTGTCCTTTCTCAATGTGGTATACATAAACCATGGTCTCTCCATCCCTGGGCGTTTGTGCCATTTCCATTCTTTTATGGTACTATGCCTGCATTTGTTGGATGTTTTCATCTGTCATTGTTTCTTAAGGAGAGAAAAGAGTGAGATTTAAGGGCCAAGAAGGAGAGCTAGTCACTGAAACTTCAAATGTGCTGAGATTGGAGGAGGCATTGGCCTCAGGCTTGGATTTGCCATGTGTGTGTTTGTTTCTGTATGTCTGTGTCACATGAGCTATAGCTAGTCCAGTGGCCACATGTGTTCTTTTGCTTCCTCTTAGGAAAGAAGACCCTTCCTGGCCTCAGAATGTACCGAGCTGCCCAAAGCCGAGAAGTGGAGACGACAGGTGATTTCTGGGTGAATCTAATCTATATAGAAGTAACAAGTCTCTAATTGCTTCTTTTTTTTAATCTAAATGACTCTTAGACCAGAATTCTAAGAAATTCTAATGATCAGGGGTTTTTTGATAATGATTAGTTTTGAAATATAATGCTTTCAGAATTTCAAAAATCATGAAAATGTACTATCCTTGATTTTACAGATCATTGGAGAGATTTCAAAAAAGGTGGCTCAGATTCAGAATGGTAAGTTGACTTTTACTTTGTTTGATTTTTTTCTATGTTTTTGAGACACAGTCTCACTCACTGTGTAGCTCAGGTTGACCATCAACTAATTACATAGCCCATACTAGCCTGGAACTCCTGGCGGTCCTCCTGCCTCAGCCTCCCAAATGCTGGGATCACACACATGTACCATCACACCTTCGTAGCTAACTATCCTTTTAAAGGACTGAGTTCTCAGATGCAGTTACCTTGGTAACTTGAATCTTCTTGCGATGATCTATTGATCATCATCTATTAAGCAAATAATCAGCAAGGAAACATTAGACGTGAACAATACTGCCACCCATGACCTGGTTGATATTTTCTAGAATCTAGTGCCTAACAACATTTCCCCTAGCAAGAATAGTTTTTCTTTTTCTTTTTTTTTCTTTTTCTTCTTCTTCCTCCTCCTCCTCCTTCTTTTTTTTAATTGTCTTTTTGAGACAGGCTCTCAATCTGCAGTTCAGGCCGGCCTTGAGCTTACGTTGTAGCCCAGGATGGTCTCGAACTTGCAGCAGTCCTGCCTCAGCCTCCTGAGTGCTGAGATTACATGCCTTGCTAGTTTTTCATTTTTTAAGAGCACATGTAGGGGCTGGGGATTTAGCTCAGCGGCATAAGTGCCTGCCTTGCAAGCAGGCAGTTGTGAGTTCGATCCCCGGTACCGATAAAAAGGAAAATGACAAACACACACACACACACACACACACACACACACACACACACACAAGCAAACATGTGTAGCTGATTGTGGGTACACACATGTAATCCCAGCTTCTTGAGAGGTGAGGCAGGAGCTTTACAGGTTCAACACCAGCCTGAAAAATAGTGAGCCTCTGTCAGTAATAAAAAGAGTTGGAGATGTAGCTCAGTGATGGAGTACTCCTGTAGCAAATACCACCACACCAAAAAAACTCAACACAGGTGCTGGGGATTTAGCTCAGCGACATAAGCACCTGCCTGGCAGGCGCGAGGTTGTGAGTTCGATCTTCAGTACCGATAAAACAAACAAACAAACAAAAAACAAAACTCAGTATATGCAGCACTCACCAAAGTAAAACATATTCTAGGCTAGAACACATGTTAGCAATATTATTATTATTATTATTATTTATTTATTTTTGGTGCCAGGGATTGAACTCACAGGCACTTATGCCACTGAGCTAAATCTCCAGCCCTAATATTAGTATTATTATTATTAGATATAGAGTCTTGCAATATAGTCCAGGCTGGCACTGAACTATGTAGCCCAAGCTGAACTCAAACTCACAGTGTTCCTCCTGCCTTAGCTTCCTAAGTACAAGGATTATGGCTGAGCACCACCATGTCCAGTAAGCAGATTTAATTAAAATCATATAAATTGTTTTCTTTGATTTTAAAAACAGAAAGTTATCCAGAAAATGAAAAAATAATTCCAGATATTGTCCGATATATTGGCTCACCCCTGTAATACCAGCTGTGGGGAGGCTGAGGCAGGAGGGTTGCCGTGAGTTCAAGGCCAGCCTGACTACATAGTGAGACCCTGGCTAAAAAAAAATTCTAGGCATTGAACTTTATATATGTGGTCACTTGACTTTTTTTTTTTTTAAATCGATACCAGGGATTGAACTAATGACTGCCTGCTTGCAAGGCAGGTGCTTAAGCCGCTGAGCTAAATCCCCAGCCCCAGTTACTTGACTTTTGACAAAGGTAGTAAAACAATTCAGTGGAGAAAAGGATAATAATAAACTTTATCCTTTGTTTGCTTTGAATCAATTTAGGTCATCAAGACAGACCAGGACAGGGCCTCACTATGTAGCCCAGACTGACCTGAACCCATGGTGATCCTCCTGTCTCTGGCTCCCATGTACTGGATTTACAGGTGTGCACCACTACACCTGGCTAGGCATGAACTTCAAAACTAAAAAATAAGAAAATTAATTTGCTTTTTAAAAAAATGGGTGGCAAAATAACTAGGCTTAGTGATAGATTCTTGTAATCACAGCACTATAGGCTGTGGCAGAAGGATTCCAAGTTCAAGCCCAACCTGGGCTTATATTTTTCTTAGTTCCACAACTAGTTTCTTGGCAAAATCTTGTGTCAGGACTGCGAATGAGGCTCAGCACGAAAGCCCTGGGTACAAAGACTTCAATTCTTCTTTTTTTTTTTTTTAAGACTTCAAATTCTTGTTTGTTCCAGATGAGTGGTGACTATAACTGGGAAACAGAAGGCTCCTTGGCAGACATGGTGGTGCATGTCTATAATCCCAGCCATTGGGAGGCTGAGGATAGAGGATTCTATTCTATTGGGAGGATAGAGGATAGAGGATGCTATGAGTTCAAAACTAGCCTGGGCTACATAGTGAAATATTGTCTCAAAAAATAGAAAATGAGGCTCCAGTGCTTGTCCCTTTCTCATGTCAGTGTTTGCAGGAGTCTTGAAAGGAGGTTTAGGGGCTGGGGATTTAGCTCAGCGGCATAAGCGCCTGCCTTGCAAGCAGGCAGTCGTGAGTTCGATCTCTGGTACCGATAAAAAGGAAAAAGACAAAACAAAAAAAAAAAAAAAAAAGAAAGGAGGTTTAGATCTCTAACCTTCTGAAAAAGTGGGAGTGGGACATTGTAAAAAGTATCTTATTTATTTATTTTTGTATCTTTATTTTTACTTGACTTTTTTGTTTGTTTTTGTTTTTTTGAGACTGGGTCTTAATATGTTGCCCAGGCTGGTTTGGAATTCATAGACTCAAGCAATCTTCCTGCCTTGGCCTCCTGAAGACCTGGGGCTACAGGTACACGACACTGTGCCTGACTTTTTTTGTTTGAGATGTTTTTGCTATGTAACTCAGGCTGGCCTCTAACTCACAGGAACTTAGGGTGGCCTTGAACCTTGTGATCTTCCTGCTTCAGACTCCTGAGTGCCAGGACTACAGGTGTGCACTGCCATACCTGGCTTTCATTTTTCATAGTTCCATCAATGGAACTGCAAGATTGTTTCTGTTTCTCTTTCCTCAGTTGCTAGTGAAGATGCTATTTGTTTTAAAGGATTTTTTTCTCCTGTGCTAGTGGGAATGGTGTTTATAAACCTTACTTTTTCATTTATTTGGGTATTGGGCATCTTCATATCCATTTAAATGAGAATTTCATGCAGTATCCCTAAGGAAGAGTGGCCATTCACATTGGAGAGATGATGTTGAATGTAAATGTTGATGTTTATTTAAGGTATACCAGCTTAAAGAAATGTTTCTAACCTTTTGTTTTTCTAGCTGGTTTAGGTGAATTCCGAATTCGGGACCTGAATGACGAGATTAACAAGCTGCTAAGGGAGAAAGGGCACTGGGAAGTCCGGATAAAGGAGCTGGGTGGCCCAGACTATGGGGTAAGCACACTGCATCCCAGTAGGATGAGTGACCAAGCCAGTGAGTCCCAGCCCGGGTCCACTGCCCAGGAGGAGGCCAGGAAGGAATGGACTCCTGTCCCCCATGGCCATGGTCCCCTGCATCCCTTGGGAAGTAGGGCTGCTGCTCACTGGTGTCCTTCCCTGAGGGACCTTCACAGTGTTCCATTCTGTCCCTTTTGGGGGGCTTTTTCCAGTTTGGGTTCACCTTTTCACAGTGGTAACTTTTTTTTTGTTTTTTTTTTGGTACTGAGGATTGAACTCATGATCTTGTGCTTGCAAGACAGGCACTTATGCCACTGAGCTAAATCCCCAGCCCCTAATCGTAACTTTTGATCATATAAATAGTATGTATTCTATTGCAAAAAGAGAAAAAAACATATAAAGAATAAGAAAATATCTTAAAATATCTATACTATATGTATGGTATATGTATTACAGGTATTACTTAGAAGTAATTGCTTATTAGGGTTGGAGATTTAGCTCAGTGGCATAAGTGCCTACCTGGCAAGTATGAGGTCATGAGTTCAATTCCCAGTACCAAAACAAACAAATAAAGAATTGCTGTTAACATTTTTCTACTTGTGTTTCTGAAGTCTTTCCAGGCATTTTCATACATGTTTGTTTTTAGAGATTGGTTCATATTCTGGATACATACTTTGTGCTTGTAACAGTATACCAAGAACATAATTTCCTGCTAATAAGTAATCATTTATTCCATTTTAAAAATGTTTTGAGAGTTCCATTCGCTGGTACCAAAAAGACAAAAAACAGTTTTGAAAGCTGGGTGTGGTGGCACATACCTGCAATCCTGGCACTCTGGAGGCTGAGGCAGGAGGACTACACGTGCTTTTTGTTTTGTTTTGTTCTGTTTGCTTTTGGTCTTTTTGAGACACGGTGTTCAGATTGGCCTTGAACTCACTTTGTAGCTCATGCTGGCCTCTAAATCCGATCAGAACCTCTTGTTTCAGCCTTCTGAGAACTGGGATTACAGGCCAGGGATACCATGTTTTGCAATGGATTACAAATTGATCCCAGCTTGGGCAGCTTAGCAAGACTATCTTGAAATTTTAAAAATTAAGATAATTTTTAAAGAGTTATTTATCAAAGTTGTTGGGGGCTGGGGTTTTAGCTCAGCGGCATAAGCACCTGCCTTGCAAGCAGGTGGTCATGAGTTTGATCCCTGGTACTGATAAAAAGTTCAAAAAAAAAAAGTCATTTATCAAAGTTATGTAAGGTTCCATACTATAGTGGTACCTCACTTCATGAATTTTAATTCTTTCCGTGTTTTTGGATGCAAACCAAATTGGTCATGAACTGAATCAAATTTCCCCAAGGTCAACAGTGAACGGAACCATTGAATTTGATTTGCTTCTCCTCAACTCGTTTTGCAGCCAGAATTGTAGAAAGAGTTAAGTTCACATTCACAAATGTAATATAGGGATGATAAGGACTTCCAAAAATCCCAAATAATGTAAGGGAAAAATAACTCCTAACCTGCTAGATATCTAATATATGCCAAATCCATGTTCTCTAAAAATCAGAGAATGAATTCTAGGAACAGCGGAGAATAGGAGTAGGAAAGGAAATGTTACCTGGATGTGGTGGTACATGCCTGCAATTGTAGCTCTGTGAGTTTGAGGCCTTCCTGGGCTACATAGTGAGTTCGCTAGCCTGAACCATATAGCAAGACATAGGATCAAAAAACTCAAAAACCAAACAAACAAACAAAAGCAAGTGTTTATTGAGAGAAAGATAGCTTCTAAGGATGAAGGGGTCCCAAGTGGGTGGCCCTGGGGGACACTGCTCCTCAAGGGAGTTCTACAGAGCAAAGTCCCAAGGTGAGGCAGATATAATGTGGGCCAATATTATAATCAACTAATAAAATTACAAGTATAGTTGCTTAGGTAACACTGACCCAGTGGGAAATCACAAGGTGGGCATGAGATGGGACAAAGCTATGGTCAACCAATAAGATTATGAGTATAATCACTTAGGTAATATTGATTAAATGGAGATCAAATGGGGAAGCAAGGCATATAGCAAGGTACATGGAGCAAACAAATGTGATTTCCTTATCTGAGTGTTTTATTTGTTTGCTACTGATTCATTTAGCTAATTTGTAATTTTTTTAAACTGTTGTCACTTCTTGTGCTGAGTATTTATCTAAGTCAGTATAAGAATTTTATAAAGACATGAGTTTTAGGGGATAAGAATTAGAATGCATCAGTGAATGTGCCATAATTTACTTAAGTCTTATTGTTAGATATTGAAGAATTTTTTTTTTTCTTTTGAGACAGGGCATCACTGTGCAGTTCAGGCTGGCCTTGAACTCACTTTGTGGTGTAGGCTGGCCTCGAACTTGCAGTGATCCTCCTCCCGTGTGCTAGGATTCCATGTACATAAATATTTTCCATGTTTAATATTATTTGAAGTATATTTATAGAAGTGGAAAGAAATAGCAAGTTTATGTACCAGATTCATTTTGTCTTTTTCCCTCCCAATAAGAAAGTTGGCCCTAAAATGCTGGATCATGAAGGGAAAGAAGTTCCAGGAAACCGAGGTTACAAGTACTTTGGAGCAGCAAAGGATTTACCTGGTGTTAGGGAGCTCTTTGAGAAAGAACGTAAGTAACTCAGGCTTTTGAAGGTTTTCACCTCTAACTTGGTAACCAAGTTGTTATGGAAAGCAGGATACCAGACTTTTTCAGATACTGTAGGAACTAACTGTACACTCCTGAAGAGATGGAAAAAGCCTTTTATTTGACTAATCTGGCTTAAGAGAAGCTTGCACTTTGTAACTTCTGAGCCCCAGAGGCAGTGTTGCAAAGGTTTTTATACAGTTTGTGGTAGAAAAAAGATGAGAACCAACAAAGACAGTTACTTAAAAACGACAAGTTTATAACTTTGGCCATCTGGTCATCCTCAAAAATAGGAATCTAACCAAGGACAAGAGAGGTGGGGATGGGCACCGCAAATTAGGAAGTGAAGTCCCAGTACTCGAGGAAGGAGGAGGAGGCACAGAAGGGAGGCTCCAAGCATCCACAAGTTAGAGAGCTGCTGTGGAACTGCTGTAGTGTCAAAGTGAAGCCTAGGCAGGAGGAGGAAGTGGGCCAATAGGATCACTCTTTAAAATGGACCATTTAACAAAATAAAGTGTGAGTAATTTACTATATGCTAAATGCTTTTCTGATATTATTTCTTTTTCTTTTTCCTCTTTCTCTTTTCTTTTGTGACAGGGTCTCACTGTGTAGTCTAGCCTGGCCTAGACCTTGTGATGATCCTCCTGCCTCAGGTTCCTGAGTGCTTAGATTACAGTTGTGTCCACCATGCCTTGCTTTCTGCAGCAGCTCTGGAGTTCTTTTTCTTCGGTGTCTTTAGTTGGGTTGTCGTGCCTACCTTGATGTCCTGACTTAATTTAAAATGTTTATCTTGGGGCTGGGGATTTAGCTCAGCGGCATAAGTGCCTACCTTGCAAGTGCATGGTTGTGAGTTCGATCCCTGGTACCAATAAAAAATAAATAAATAAATAAATAAAATAAAATATTTATCTTTATGGTCATCTTGACTTTGGGGAAGAGCCAGAAGTCACAGGTGGGAGCTGAGGATTTAGCTTAACGGTGTAAGTACCTGCCTGGCAAGTGTGACATTGTGAGTTCGATTCCAGGTACCAAAAAAAAAAAAGTCACAGGTTGCCCGTTCTGGTGAAAGAGGTGGAATGAGGACACAGCATCATATTTTTATGAGCTTCCTTTCTGTTGATGATGCTTGGCAGCAGCATTCACCATAATTTGGATCCCACTTCATAAAGACACTCAGGAAAGAGGACTCCGGAGCTGTTTCAGAAAGTGACAAGAGCAGTGAGGTTAATGTGCTGGAAATGAAAGAGAAGGATTTTGTTTTATTTTGTGACAGGATCTCAGTATGCAGTTCAGGCTGGCCTTGAATTCCTCATGTAGCCCAGGGTGGCTTGGGAGTCATAGCAAATCTCATGCCTCAGGCTCCTGAGTGCTGGAATTATAGACATACATCACCTTGCTTGTCAGCAGTGTGTTTTTCTGTGATATACTTCTGAAAACTTAAACGTGGACTGCATATTTTGATCAAACTTTTGTGTACTGTCTGACTGCACGGTGCTATGGGAGAAGGGTGGGCTCAAGTGTCACTGTAACCTAGAAATGAGCTAAATTGCCTCTGTTTCCTCTAGCTCTTCCTCCTCCCAGAAAGACTCGTGCTGAGCTCATGAAGGCGATTGACTTTGAGTACTATGGTTACCTAGATGAAGATGATGGTGTCATTGTGCCTCTGGAGCAAGAATATGAGAAGAAACGTAGGTCTCTGGGTGTCTCAAACAGGACACCCTCTGCTTTTTCTCCTTTGAAAACTGTTTCGAGGAATACATTTGGCAGAAGGCTATTTTCCTTCCTGCTAATTCAGGTCCTCAGAGGTCTTAGAACTCTGGGCTGTGAGTCAATCCCAGATGACAAGTGAGTCGATCAGTGTGGTGCTGCCCTGGGGAAGCTGCAGGGCTGCCACTCCCTGCCTTAGGTGCAGCAGAGGGCTTTCAGGTGCAGAATATGGTGTGCGGGTGCTAGTCTGAACAGCGCTGGGTGACCTAGGACTTTGGAAGCAAGTCCTGGGTGTGGAGCTCCTTCCCAGCTTGCTGGGGCCTCCATTTTTTTTTTTCCTTTTTTCTTTTTCTTTCTTTTTTTTTTTTTTTTTTTTGGTACTGGAGATCGAACTCAAGACCACACGCTTGCAAGGTAGGCGCTTATGTCACTGAGCTAAAGCCCTGGATTTTTTCCCCTTTTTCAGTTTTTTTTTTCCCTTTTGTACCAGGGATCAAATGCATAATCTCATGGCTGCCAGACAGGCTCTTGTGCTGCTGAGCTAAATCCCCAGCCCCTCTTTCTTTTGAGTTTTAAGCATCTCTCTGTAGCCCAGTCTGGCCCTGAACTTGTGGTCCTCTCACCTCGGCTTCCCAAATACTAAAGCATGTAACTATCCATGACTCTCCTTTTCATGTGGGTGTGTCTGAAAGCCCCTCAGCTGGCCTTGGGAGTATTGAGGGGACAGTCCCTGAAAAGGTGTTGTATAATGACTTAAAGCTAGAGTATTGTGGAACCAGACCTCGTTCCCAGCCACGTCCTGGCTCAGGGCAGAGTGAAGGCAGCTCTTTCCAGAGCACTGTTTTGGCCTTTCCTTCAGAGATGTGATTGCAGCTCCTGTCTCCCTGTCTGCAGTAAGAGCTGAGCTAGTGGAAAAATGGAAAGCAGAGAGAGATGCTCGGCTAGCAAGAGGAGAAAAGGAAGAGGAGGAAGAGGAGGAGGAGGAAATCAACATCTATGCTGTCACTGAGGAGGAGGTACTAACATGGGTCCTGGCTTGGTGCAGAGACCAGTGTTTGGGTTCAACGCCAGCACCCTCCCAATGGGATGGCTGTGAAGATCAATGTTCAGGATCAGGGAGGGTCCAGGGAAGGAGGGAAAGGATGGCCATGGGAATCACTGTCAGCTGTGCTTTGCACCAGGGATGGCATCCTTTCTGCTTTTGATTTGTTTTGTTTTGTTCTGAGACAGGATCCTACTATGTAGCACAGGTTGGCCTTTAACTTTCAGTAATCTTCCTACCTCAGCCTCCTGAGTGCTGGGATTACAGAAGTTTATCACCCTGCCTGACCCTTCCTGCCATCTTAACAATTAGTGAAGCAGAGTGGGCTTTAGAACACCATATTCCAGGTTTCAGCCCCAGCCTCACTCAGCTATTCAGATGGTGCTGCCAGTGGTTCCTCTGTGCCCAGCATCTCCATTTCCAGATGGAGACAGAAAGGACCCACAGAAACTCACAGCTAGGAGGAGCTGGGCTCCAGGCTTCCAAGCAGGCCCAGCATGTGGAGGCCTGGAGTGTGGACAGCACCCTGCGGGTCTACTCCATTGTTCCAAGATAGGGGAGGGACACACACACACACACACACACACACACACACACACACACAAGCAGCTGTGAGAGGGGTAGTGGCTCAGTGAAGGTCACATGTCACAGTGAGGACTGGAGGTTCCACCACAGCGGGGCTTAGGCAAGGATGGTGTGTGGCCTAGGAGGTTTCCCTAGGTCCTCTGTAGCAAGTGTTTGATGAGTGACTATATGAGCCAGGCTCATGCCGGGTGCAGGGGCACAGCCACCATCCAAGCTCAGGTGTAGCACACGGTTGTAGGGGACCAGTGCAGCCTGAGATCAGGAACTGAGGGGAATAAAGCAAGTGGTAAGCAGGCAAAGGGAGTATATGCTCCATGCTGAGGGACACCAAGAACAGGGAAAGGACAGACAAACAGAACAGACAGATGGGCCCTGGGAAACATGAGTGACTGTGTATGGTCGAGCGCCCTGGAAACAGAGTTGTCCTCATTGAGCAATAGAAATCATTTTCTTTTCCTTTTTCTTCAGAAACAACTGCAGACATCTAGGTCATTGCAGAGCTAGTTTCCAGAGCTCCCACGGGCCTTTCCCTGTTTCCCCAGTGGCTATACCATGTGTAACTTAGTGCAACAGCAAAGCCTGACATTATCCTCAGCATGATGAGTGAGATCTGTGGCTTTTATCGGGGATGGGACTGTCTCCTCTGCAGTGGACACAGACCTGCTTCCTGGGCACAGAGTGGCTCTTGTTGCTCCCTTCTTGTCACACCTCCTCACCTCTGCATCCTCATCCCCACAAACTCTTTTCTGCTCTCTGTCTCTGTAATTCTGTCATTTCAGGACAAAACTAAAAATAAGAGTGGCTGTACAACCAGTTTTGAATCCTCCCAAGGGTCAATTTTGATGATGGTTGTTACTTGCCACAGGATACTGTTGAGACCTATCCACTGTGGAGTTCAGATTTCCTCCTTTTTACCACTGAGTGGTCTGCCATTTGCAGAAATTCGAGCAGGTCTGGAGTATAAGGGTCACGGGGCAGTGCCAGGGCTAGAACAGAAGTGAAGTTCTTCCTGAAGGGGCTTCATTTTCCAATCTCTGGTACTGCAGTTTGACTTGTTGCTGACCTTTAAATACCCAGGGAATCACAGGTACTGTTGTGTCTGATGTTTGTGGGTTATATTTAGAGTCCAGTGTGGGGCTCTAATGGATAGGGTTGCTGTGAAGTTTCTCTTGCCATGCTTTTGTTGAGTGTCTTAGGGGAATAGAATTACTAGGTCCCAGGGTGTGGTGTGTTTAATGGTTGTAGATACAATTGTTTTCCCAAACTGCTGAGCCAGTTGTGGTGCAAGCTTGTCAGCCTGACACTCAGGGCTGTGAATGTGGCTCAGTGGTAGAGTTCTTGCCTTGCATGCACAAGGCCATGGGTTTGATCCACAGTACCACAAAAACAAAACAAAATCCTGGCACTCAGGAGGCTAAATCAGAAGATCTCAAGTTAAAGCCCAGGCTGGGCAGTTTAGCAAGACCCTATATATATATTTAAAAAAAAAAAAAAAAAAAAAGGGTAAAAAACCTCCAAAGTCCTCAAACTGATCACACTCCTACCAGTACCTTAGGAGAGCTTCCCTCTGGCAGCCAGAATGGGGCAAGACCATGTTGGCACCTGGCATGGAGCCCAGCCAACAGCAGACTCTCATGTTATTTCCTTGGTTATTAGTAATCATCTGTAGCCTTTTGGTTAATCTTACTTATTTTTGTGGACGTCTTTCAAATTTAAATTTTAGAACATAGGCAATAAAAGTCACAAGTTTCCAAAGCATTGTACTCTTCTCCCTGTTCCCTGTCTTCCCTGTTGTCTGCTGTTGGTTTCTGTTCTTTTCTCTCCGGGACAGGAGGTGGCATAAAGCATGAGTGTTTCGTCACTTTTCATGTTTAATAATGTGTCTTGGGCATCCCCTGTGGAAGTACAGACCTCTCGTTCTCTTTTTTTCCTGACAGCTGTAGGGTGGCACCATTTTATAGAGGTGCCATTGATAGTGTTGCAGGTGCCTTGCAATGGCCATACTTTTTCTTTTTGCAGTCCGATGAGGAAGGCAGCCAGGAGAAAGGAGGGGAGGATGGGCAGCAGAAGTTCATCGCTCATGTGCCAGTGCCGTCACAGCAGGAGGTAGGCTAGAGGTTGCCAGCTGCCCAGGAACAGGAGCTTGCTCCTCTGGAACAGGTTGTGCTCAAGAGGGTGGAACCCCAGAAAGTCAGATGTTCCTGGTGGTGGGGAGTTGTGGCTCTTAGAGGCCACCTGGGTGTGTGAATCATACTTCTCAGTGATACCCTGGGGACTCCCTCTTGGAGGGACTCCAGGCCGAGGATTGAGCCCAGTCTCTGCTGCCTGCAGATTGAGGAGGCCCTTGTGCGAAGGAAGAAAATGGAACTGCTCCAGAAGTATGCAAGTGAAACCCTGCAGGCCCAGAGTGAAGAAGCCAAAAGGCTCTTGGGCTACTAGGACAAGCCAGCTACTCCTTGGAGTCTGAAAATCCAGTGGGCGGCTTGCTATCCCTGAGGCATTCCTGCCTACATGGCCACCCCAGCTGCGGTCAGGCCGCTGGCACCTGGAGGCCCTGCTTCTTTTTCATCTTTTATCCTTCTCGTCTTTCTTGCCTCCAGGGCTGATCCGAGCCCGAGCACAGGGCTCTTGTCTTCTGCCTCCCATTAGGCTGTCGTCAACTTTTTTACTGATGATTTATTTTGACCTGTGTGAGTTGTCTTATGAACCCATTTCTTTTTATTTTGGCCTGTGTTAACTACCATATGAACTCATTTTATTTTGGATATAAAAGATTGCCTTCTGGCTGCCTATTAAGCATTTTGTTTTGCCTCATACTGTGATTTTGAAGAGAGAAGAATCAACTAATGGCCAACATGAAGCTGGGTGTGGGGGCCTTCCCCTGTTACCCTAGCACTCAGGAGGCCCTGAGAATCGCTGCAAGTTCAAGACCAGCCTTGCCTAGTGAGTTCAAAGCCAGTTGCACTACATGGTGAGACCCTGAGTCATACCAAAGGCAAATAAAAATTAATTTTTCTAAAAGGATACTCTTTTTTCTGCAGAACTGAGATGATATGTCAGCCTTGAGCCCATTGTTTGGGGTCAGTGGCCTGAGTTGCTCCACAATGCTGGACACTGCCCTACTTCTCCACCAGCCTTCTTCCTGGAGGGCTGGAATATTGACTTTGCAACTTCTGCACTGTAATCTGTTCTGCAGAGAACCATTTTTATTAAAGATTTTTTGTAATAAAAGAAAACTGCCATGCCTTCTTCCTGGGGTGATTATCCTGAGGGAACATGAGGTCACCCACAGGGATGCTCTCTGACACAAGCACAGAACATATCCTGGGCTCCAGCAGGGAGTGGAGGCCCCCATGGGCTCCTGTGTTGGCCTGTGTGGTTGTCCATGCTGGACATGTAGGAGTCCTGAGGTCACTGAGCTGGGTCTTCACTGTTGAGTGAGGACCTAGTGCAGAGGCTGCAGGCCTGAGTGGTCCTGGGCTTGGGCCTTGTACCTTATAGCATTGTGGAAGCATCTTGATGCTCTTTGTTAGGGCCAGGTGACTGTCTCTTGAGTGTGGGGCACTGACTTGGGCTGTTGGGAAATGGGAGCTCCTGGCTTGGAGAAGTGCATCCCGCAGCAAGAGTGTGTTTTTCTTGCTGGAGTGGCACAGACAGGGATAAAAGTGCTGTGTGGAGCTGCAGGTGGTTGTGCCCAGATAGCTGTCTAGCAGCAGGCCATGTTGGCTCCCTCTCTTAAGGAACCTTACACTGCAGTAACTAGAAATGTTCTGAGGGAGGAAGAACCTAGTTTTTGTTGACTTGCTCCAGGAAGCTCCCTTCCTAAAGGACTGTCCAAGTCCCAACCCTGAGCCGAGCCTTGGGTAGATGTGCAGAGAGGAGGGAGAAGTCCAGGAAGGAGGGAGAAGTTCAGTGGTAGACAGGCCAGGCTCTGGGGTGCATCACCTAGCCTATGGCTCCCTGGAGTAGTAAGCTCATGAGTGAGCTTCATAGGGGCTTTGAATAAGTTCTGGGATCCAGCCTCAGTTTTCCTGTTCTGAGGTCCAGGACTGGAGTCCCAGCAGTAGTGGACTGTAGGCAGAGGCATCAGAGGGCCTGAGGACACTGTCCAGGTCTTTGTAGGGTGGGGTAGGGGTTGACTCGGGCATGGCAGACTTCAGGTCCAGTCATGGACAGAAAGGAGAACCCACAGGCAGTAACACTTCCTCACATATGGAGTAAGGCAGAAGATTCTCACATCACACATTCTTGGTCCCTAGATGAGATAAGCCCTAGAGCAAGTCTATCCTGCACAGTAAGGGCTGCAGAACTCCAGTGTCTTCCCCCAAGTCTCATCAGGGCCTCTTGGGTCCTACTTTGGGAAAAACAGGCTTGGAGTGGAGCAGCACCCAGCTGGCCATCTTACAAGTCTCCCATGTGTTGACCCAGAGGGCCTGGAACAGAGGGAAGTTCTCAGCTGGCCTCCAGCCAAGCCTGAGGACAGTAGGAAAGCTGTCAGCATAGGTGTGATCATTGGGAGTGAATGTGGTCAATTGGGCCCAGCTAACCAGGCTTGGTTTAATTTACAAAATCCAGTGACTTATGTTAGCTTTGGCTCTGCCTGCAGTATCAGAAAGGCGACTTTTCCTCTTATGTTAGCTTTGGCTCTGCCTGCAGTTTCAGAAAGGCGACTTACTTCCTTCCCCTCACCTCCCCACCCATCCTCTGTCCTCTGGTGAGGCTGTGCAGTCTCCCTCCTGGCTCAGCCCATTCTCCCAGTCCTCCTTCCCCTCACCCCCAGCCCCTGTCCAGCAGGGAGCTGAAACCCATCCTATTCGGTTTCTACCCAGTGGCTCCTGGGAGGGGACATGCTGGGGCCTGATCCCCTGCACACTGGCCCACTTCCCCTGCCTCCTTGGTGCTGGGACAGGTAGGGCACTTGGGGGCCCGTGTTGGCTCCTCCCCATCTGCCCCGCTGAGGGGTGCAGAAGGCTCTCTCCCAGAGCTGACTTGAGCCGGTGCTTTGTTGTTCCACTGGATACTTCTGGGCTACAACTCACTGGGACCTTAAAACTACTGCAATCTCTTTGGCCTTAAAGCAAAGGTAGAGGGCTACTCTAGAGTCCCTCTGGTGGGCTGATCTGGGAAGGATGAAAAGGCTCTGCAGGTTTAGAGGGGACAGGGGGTATTGCTTGTTGGCATGCATTTCTTGGGGGCTCTCCTTGGAGTGGTCTGGGAAGCAAGATTGTGTGAGATCACTTCTCCCCAGGCAGACCAAATGGAGTTAGGGCTGTGTCTGGACTAGGGAGGAAGCCAGGGCAGCCTTGTGGAACCACCTAGTCCTGGTCTGGGGCTGGCAGAGGGATTCCAGGGCACAGTAGAGTTGGATGAGAGGTGCCAAGAGGCAGGTGGCCTGCATATGGTGGGTCAAGGTCTCTATTGTGAGATCACCCTTACCAGAGGCTGAAGGAGGGGATTCATTTGTTCCCGTGTTTGTGACATTTTGAGACGTGGGAGGGAAGGGAAAGCAGTTGCCTGCTGCTGTTTTGCCTACCAGGTATGCTGAGGGCCACTTCCTGTTGCATAAGGCTGTACCAGCCTCCTGCACTTGGATCTCCAGTGCTACGGCAGAATTCTAGGTGTTGTTTGCCACTTTCAGTTTTCTAAGTGTTTTTCCATATTCATGACACAGGGCCTGTGGTTGGTGTCTAGTCATCTTTTTGATGACTTTTTATGTTGTTGTTTTTTTTTTTTTTTTTTTTTTAGTTCAGGCCTCAGTTGTGTTAAGGACTACCCTTTAGCTATGTAGCCCAGGCTAGCCTTGAACTCATGACGTTCCTTCTGCTTCAGCCTCCTAGGTGCTAGGATTACAGGTGTGCGCCACTATGCCCAACTGTCCAGCTGTTTGTTTGTTTTTTAACCGACAGCCTTATTTGTGGGGAGAACCGGAGGTCAGACTCATGACCCTATGCTTGCCAAGCCAGGGCCTTATTTTTATTTTGAAATAGGATCTTGCTAAGTTACCCAGGCTGGGTTAGAACCTGCCATCCTTCTGTCTGTCCATTTTTAACAACTGTAGATAACGCATTATTTCAAATCTGGGGCATTAAAGGAGACTTCTTAAGTATTTTAAACTACCCCATTTCACATGAATATTATTCAGCTTCAGATACAGTGCTATTGCTCTTCATGAACTTACTACCTAAAGACAGGAGACACATTTTTGTTGTTGTTTGTGTTTTGCTTTGTTTGGTACCAGGGATTGAACTCATAACCTCACATTTGCCAGGCAGGTGTTTGTGCTGCTGAGCTGTATCCCTAGCTCCCACATTTTTTAAAAAGTTTTCCTGAGGTATAATTTATATACTATGGTGGACATGGTAGCTTATTCCTATAACCCAAGCACTTGAGAGGATGAGGCAGGATGATTGCCACAGGTTTAAGGTCAGCCTGGGCTACATAGTGCGTTCGAGGCTACCCTGAATTTCATACTGAGACCTTGCCTCCAAAAAGCTACTTTTTATATACCATAAAATCTACTTTGTAAGTATACATTTTGATGATTTTTAATATTTCCTGAGTTTGTAAGCCCTACCACAGTCCTTTCAGGTTGTTTCTAGTATCTAACAGAGGAGAGGGAGCCTGGATGACAAAAATCTAGGCCCAGTGCCATAGGTGGTGGTGCATTCCTATAATTCCAGCAGTGGGGAGGCTGAGGCAGGAGAATTGATGCATGTTCAAGGACAGCCTGAACTACATATTGAGACTGCCTCAAAAAAAAACTCCTTGGGGGATGGAGGGAAGAGGTAAAAATAACTGAAATGTGTTATGTACAGGTACCAATCTCCTACAGTAAATGTAATCATTATATACTGCAAACATGTACTAATAAAAGTTTCAAAGAAAAAAAGAAATCCAGGCCCAGACCAGGCTTTCCCCCACTTTGCTCTGCATGAAATCCAGGCTGGGTATTGTCGGGGACAGGTGTCCACTCCCAGGGACTCATCCCAGCCCTGGCCCAAGTCTGTCTCCTGGACCAAGACACTGTGCACCAGGCACTAAGTGACCACTCGAGCCTGCGCCATGCCTGCCTGACAGCCATCCCCAGTGTATGGAGACCCTCAGCCTGGGAATGAAGGGAGACATTTCCTGCTACCGCAGCAGACAGCAGAAGGCTTTTCAGGGTCCCCTGGGGCTTGCTGTGCTACCTGTGAGAGTTTCCCAGAGGATGGAGTTCGCCATTAGGGGACAGACAGCTGTCCTGCCCTCACTGAGTGGCCTTGCCTGCTCCTGCCTGTCCCCTGAAGCTGGATAGGGTCCTTTGCGACCCTGGAAAAGGACCCATCTCTTCCCCCTGGGTTTCAGTTGCTGTGTGCCCTGAGAAAAACCTGTAGTCCCACAGCAGTGTCGGGCCAACGCCAGACTACTCGGAGTAATCATGCAGTTACAGGAAACACATGTGCCACAGGCCTGACAGGGCGAGTTCACAACTGAATCCCCCTCCCTCCTGGCTTTGGGGGTCGGGTCCCATTTGATCAAGTTAAATCTTTAACTGTTTTTGGAAAGGGTCTCGCCATGTAGCTTAGGCTGGTCTTGTAGCTTAGATGATCTGATTGCCTCAGCCTCTAGAGGCTAAAAACTCTCGGCTTCTAAGAGATAAACTGATCTCATCTCTCTGAGGACCCCTGGCTCCCGAGTCAACTCAGGAGCCCCGTCTCCAGCTCTGGTTCTAAGCTGGGTCCTCAGCCTGTGCCCACAGTCCAACCAAGGCCAGCCTTTCGTGAGCACCAGGGCAGCATCTCCTGGAAGTGCCCTTGTGCACCTGGCTGACGGAGGAACTGAGCGGGCAGAGGACAGAGAGAGGGAAGGACCACTGGATGGAGCGAGAAGCGGGGCGCAGGCGGGAACTTTGGGGGCTCTGAGGGAATTGGGGGCGGGGCGACGAGGGTGGGGAGAGCCTTCTGTGGGCGGGAGTACGCGTGGCTAAGGGGGGGCGGCGGATTTCCTTCCCGGATGCGGCGCGAAGGGCGGGGCCGGGTGGGGGCGTAACGTGGGTGTCGGGGAGGAGTTGAAGGCGGTGCAACCGTTGCGCTCGGAGTGCTGAGGGACGACTAAGGACTAGGGATCAAGGTGCTGGGGGCGGAACCGAGGGGATGTCCTGAGGGAAGGCTCCGGCGCTCGGGGCGGGGCGGAGAGCCGAGCTGAGGGAGCGCTGGCGGGCCGGGGGCGGAGTCAGGTGCTGAGGGCGGAGTCAGAGTGCTGAGGGCGGGCCCGGGAAGTCCCGAGGGGAGGCTCGCGCGCTCTGGGCGGGGCCAGGCGGGCTGAGGGAAGCTCACCGGGCTGAGGTGCCTCCGGGCCATTCTGACGCGAGGCGAGCAGTTCGCGAGCGGGCGCGGAGGGCCGGGTTGGGTCGGGTCGGGTCGGGTCGGGTCGGGTCGGGTCAGGCCGGGCTGGGCTGGGCTGGGCCGGGCAAGGCGGGCGGAGTTGAGCCCGCGGGCTCTAGGCGGGCCGGGGCGGGGCGGAGGCGCGGTCGGCGACGGCAGTAGTTAAGGTGTTGCCTCGGTTCCACGTCTCCAGAGGGCCGTGGGCTGGAGCGTGCGGAGCTCAGGCCACTGGCAACGTGCGGAGCCATGGCGGGGCCCGGGCCAGGGGATCCGGACGAGCAGTACGACTTCCTGTTCAAGCTGGTGCTGGTGGGCGACGCGAGCGTGGGCAAGACGTGCGTGGTGCAGCGCTTCAAGACGGGCACCTTCTCGGAGCGCCAGGGCAGCACCATCGGCGTGGACTTCACCATGAAGACGCTGGAGATCCAGGGCAAGCGGGTCAAGGTGGGCCTGGCGGGGACTGAGATAGACCCTTCCCTGGGAGCCCCTCGCGGTCCCTGCACCCGGAGAGTGGCACTCGGGGGCGAGCAGGGACCAGGAAGTGGTGGCTTCTGAGGCTTGAGGGCTGAAAGTTTCTGCCCGAAATTTCCGGCCTGGCCACGCCTCCTCCCTCGCCGCTTTATGGCCCCGGTGGCGGAACTTTCCTCGGTCCCCTCCTCCGCCGGCCCGAGCGGTCCCAGAACTCTGCGGATCCGGAAGCAGGGGAGCGGACAGGGCTCGGCCACCGAGCTGGCCAGCAGGATGTGGGTGCCACCGTGTCCCGCGGCGGCCGGATGAGTGACAGACACTGGCGATGAATGAAATCGAGGTACCAGGCCCCGCTGTAGAGCGGCTGACCGGGCCAGGACCGGGCGCTGTCTGTTCCTGAGCGCAATATCTGCGAGCCGCACTCTGCACTTGCGGGTATCCAAGTTCACCAGTCTCAGGACGACCCTGGAGAGCTCAGGGGAGGGCTGTTGCTCTCACTGTGGTTTCCCACAAGTGGGAGTCTCTTTGGTGGCTCTGCCTGAGTGCTGTAGGTCTGCTTCTGATTGCCTTTGGCTGGGATAGTTAGCTCTTTGTCTTTGTTTCTGTAAAACTGGGAATTCCAGGGTGTCACCTCCCTCCTGCCGCACCGTGGAGGGAAAGTAAGTTTTAAACCTTTATAGGACCGTGAGGACTCTATGGAGTACACTCGACTGGGAAACCAGGAACTCCTACCTACAAGGTTTCACAGTCTTTTGGGTTGCAGGGCATTTGCGTCTGCACAGGGTAAACAGAGGGCAGCCACCTGGAGTCATTTGGGGAGCACCCCTTTTGGAGCAGGTGGCAGAGAAGGGTGGCTACGGGTGGAGTGGAGTATGCTCATGTTTGAGCCTGTGGAGTTGCCAGTGCCACACTGAAAGGGCAGTGTGAAAACTGAGGCACCCATAAAGAGCAAGAGTTCGTCTGGAAAGCGTCTGTGTTTTTGGTGGTCCTGTGCTGGCAGTGGTTAGAGAGGGGGCGGGGCTCTTGTTTACCTGTTGAGATAGCAAGTGTGACCCAGCTGTGCTTGGGTGGACTGTGCACCCAGCACACATTATGCAATGCAGGGCCAGTAGTTCATTGTTTCGTACCAGGGATTGAACTCACAACCTCATGCTTGCCAAGCAGGTGCTTATGCCACTGAGCTAAATCCCAGCCTGCCCTCCCCCTCTGTTGTTTCTTTCTGTCACTTCCTGATTGTCTGTCTTAGGAGGTGACCAGGTGGGGCTGTGTAAGAGCCCAAGCCCCACTTAGAGATGTAGCTGCTACCTTTCTGGAGAGGCTGCTGTGAACTAGGGATGGTACAGTGTGTTCCCCTCACTGGAGGGCATTGTGATTACAATAATAATTTTTTTTAATACTAGAGATTGAACCTAGGGTCTCATGAATGCTGTGCATGCTGGGTGTCATGGCAAATGCCTATAAACCCAGCTTTCAGAGGGCTGAGGCAGGAGGATTACTGAGAGTTTGGGGCCAGTCTGGGTTACATAGTGAGTTCAAGGCCAGTGTGAACTACAGAGTGAAACCCTGTCTTAAAAAACAAAACAAAACAAAGAATGCTGTGCACTTGCACTGCCACTGAGCTACACCACCAGCCCTAGAGGGAGTTATTACCCTCAGTTCACTGTGCACAGGTTTGCCTTGGACACAGCCAGAAAGTGACAGGTGTGGAAAAGTTCTGTGTTTTTCTGGCTCCAGAACGCTAAGCTCTTTCCCCTCCAGCAGACTGCTTGGTAAAAGGGTTGTTTGCAGGGGGAAAGCCTTGACAATGATTTCTCTCCTCACTTTTCAGTAGGGGAACCCTGAACCCCAGTGCCTGGAGAGGCTGGGGTTCAACTCAGTAGCATTGAACCTTGTAGGAACCTGGTCCTTCACGTTGGGAGAGCAGGATTTTGCTGACTCAACAAAGAGCAGTCATTTTCCCCTCCTGGAGTCTGTTTCCTCATCTGTAAAGTATCTTGGAAGGGTCTTCAACTCTGCCTGTGATTGTGACTGTGACTGTGACTGTGTCCGTGTATATATGTGTGTGTGACTGGGGATCGAAACCAGGGTACCATACCACTTGGTATGTAGTTCAGCCTGGCTTCACAGCAATCTTCCTGAGTGCTGGATTATAGGCCTACTCCAGCACAGCCAGCCTTTATTTTTTATTGTGAGACAGGGTCTCAATAAATTGCCTAAGCTAAACTTAAACTTGCTATCCTCCTACACTGTCACAGGCCAGGTCACAGGGTCCCCAAGCTAAAATAAAGAACTCAAGCCACCCCTTTAAAATCAGTACAGGGGCTCACTGACTCCTGTCACGGGAAAAAGAATTTTCAGGAAACAACAGTAAAAGAGAATGAGAGAAGTTTATTAGAGGGAGATACAGGCTGATCTCAAGATTGGAAGTGCTCAAGGAAGTGAAGCATATTACTGGAATTGGGGAATCTTGTGTTTTGGAATTCCATGGAATTAGATAATCTCTAGTCTTAGTGTTAGTGGTTGGGAGAGGATGGCCCACCCCTAGTGAGATAATGATTTATTCCTAGGGAAAATCCCAAAGGATGGTCCTTTCCTGAGTGAATGAGGACCATTTGCAAGTAAAAGAGAGTGGGCAGACTCTTAAGGGATTTACCTAGGTTTGTTGTTTTGGGAGAAGGAAAAATAATAAACCCAGTTTAAGTTCAGAAGATGCAGTTTTTCTTTTTCTGGTGATATTTTTATTTGTTTTTGAGGCAAGCTGGCCTTGAACTTGTTTATGTAGCCCAGGTTGACCTCAACTCATGTGACCTGCCTCAGCCTCCCCAGTACTGGGATTACAAGCATGTGCAACCACACCCAGCAGCAGTTTTTCTTTTATTTTCTTGTCTCCTTTCTACCTAGCTTTTATTTAATCTATCCTATCAATTTTATTAAGGTTTAATTTACACACAGTAGACTCTGCTCATTTTAAGCGTATAAATCTGTGAATTTGACAGATATATACTGACATGTAACTACCATAATCAGGAGAGACGATATTTCCATCAGCTGAGGAAGTTCCTTGTTTTTGTAGCCAGTTCCCTCTTTTCACTGCATCCCCAGCAACCAGTTAACTGTTTTCTGTACTTTAGTTTCAGCAATATGATTTTAGGTGGAATCTTTGTGTTTGTTTTTTGAGACAAGGTCTCAAGTATGTATTCCAGACTGGCCTTGAACTCACAAAGCAGCCCAAACTGGCCTCAAACTTGTGGCAGTCGTCCTGCTTCAGGGTCCTAAGTGCAGGGATTACAGGCATGTGCTACCATGCCCAGGTCTTGTTACTTTATTGTATGCATCTGCTCGTGGCATTTATGAGACTTGAAATTCCCTGGTTTGCCTTTTCCTTTAGAAAATTAGCTCCTTTAAGACAGAGGAATCCAGCTGGCCAGCCACAGGCACAGTGTTCAGTACGTACATGCCTGTGTTCATATTTTAGAGAGCAAACTGAAGCCAGGAAAGATAATGTGACTGTCTTACCCAAGGTCTCTAGTAAGTCAGTAGCAAAATCAGGATTTGAACCCAGGTTCTGGCTGGCTCCTCCTTGCACTTGCCAGACAGGTGCTTAGACCACTGAGCTAAATCTCCAGCAGGTTAGTGAATCTTGAAAGAATGACTTGTTGAGAAAGCTGTGGACTTGGGCTGAACTCAGGGTGCAGTGTATTTATCTACCCAGCCTAACATTTCTGTAGCTCGAGACAATTTGTGGTACATGGGCTAGCTGGCAAGCCTTTGCACATGGTCATCACTTCCTGGGTCCACATGGGTTCCTTTGGCTCTGGCTCCCAGTATTGTAGACAGCCAAGTTAGGTAGAAATATCCTAGGCAGTCACACTGGGCTGGCTCGAGGGAGTCAGTGAAGAGGATGAGAACACAGCACAACTGTGCCTGGAGGTACCTCCACTGAAGGCCAGGCCACAAGATAAAGACTGAATGATGGAGTATATGTTGCCTCTGAGGGTTGCTGTATATTATAATTGGTATCATCTGGTCCAATAAAGTCTAGATAGATACCTCAGTGGGTGACCAGGACCTCCTGACTCAACTCCAAAAGAGGTTCTTTCTTTGTGTGTTTGCTGGGTGACTTTCTTCCCCATTGGATCAACGTTACCTAAACTGCTATAGTTGTAATCTTATTGGTTGATCATAGTTTTGTCCAACATTATAGCCACCTCATAATTTTATACCAATATTGTGATTTTGCCCAATAAAACTTCCTCTGGAAAGTAAGGTCACTTTCCAGCATCCCACTTGGATCCCCTCCTGTCTCACTCAGGAACTGTGTCTCAGTAAAATTTTCTACTCTTAACTTCCATTGTTACTTAGAATTCATTCTTCGATTTTGGGTAACATGAACTCCACAGATTTGACTTGTAGCAGTTTGAGAGTTATAATATTTCCCTTATATCATTTGGAAGTCCTATATCACTAGAACTTCAGATATCTGAGTACTGCTGGTCTTTCAGACTTGAAAGCACTGAACCAGGAGTCGGAAAGCCTGGGTCTACTATCTCTGTCACAACCTTGGGCAATTTCTATTCCCATTTGGAACTTCATACTTATCATTCTTCACATGGTGCTAATGACCACTGTTTCTTCTCCTGAAGGTTGCTGTAAAAGTATGGACATATATAAGAGCTGGGCAGGTGGCACACACCTGCAGTCCCACAGGAGAATTGCTGTGAGTTCTCCAAGTTTGAGGCCAGTCTAGACTATGTAGTGAGTTCAAGGCCCTCCTGAACTATCTAGTAAGACCCTGTCTCAAAAAACAAAAACAAGGCAGGGAAATCATTGTGAGTTCGAGGTCAGCCTGGGCTGCAAAGTGAGTTCAGGGCCAACCTGAATTGCATAGTGTATCTCAAAAAGACCAGAAAAAGGCGCACATAAGAAAAGTATTTCCCAGGGGCTGGGGATTTAGCTCAGTGGCATAAGTGCCTGCC